ATGGGCAGCAGCATCTTCCTGATAAAAGCAACTGTACGACAAAAAAAAACTGCGGTTGCCAACCCGCTCGCCAAGCGTGGCAACTATGGCAATATACCCATGAACAATTACATAAATATACGGCCCCCAGTCCCCGACGGCCCCGCTATTCCTGGCTACGGTGGCGACCATGGTAACGGCGGGGCAGGGGGTGCTAATAAACTCCGGTGGAGATTCGGTTGCCACCTACGAAGACTCGACCTGGCAACATTTAACGCACGTACCCTGAGGACTAACGAGAAGATTCTGAGCGAGCGAGCTGGAAGAAGAGATAGACAAGTTGCGCTGGAATATTATAGGATTATCCGAGGTCCGAAGAGAGGGAAAGGACACGGTGATTCTCGAATCCAGCAACTTGTTCTACCACCGGGAGGGCGACCATCTGTCCCAAGTAGGTGTTGGATTTATCGTCCAAAAGTCTCTCGTTAGCAACATTTTAAAAATTGGGAGTGTATCGACGAAGGTTGCGTACCTTATACTCAGAATCACCAAAGGTCATACAGGTCTACGCGCCAACGTCGGAACATCCCGATGAGGAGGTGAAGGAAATGTATGAGGACATTTCCACAGCCATGCATTCCTCCAAAATTCACTATACGGTGTTAATGGGAGACTTCAACGCAAAACTGGGCACAAGAAAGAACGGTGAGCTGAAGGTAGGGAAATTTGGGATAGGGCAACGGAACTTAAGGGGCCAGCAGCTGGCCGACTTCATGGAAAAAGAGGGACTTTTTATGATGAACTCTTTCTTCCAGAAGCGGCCCCAGAGAAAAGGGACCTGGTCGAGCCCCGACGGTTCGACAAAAAATGAGATTGACTTCATTATGACGAGCAGACGCCAACTGTTCAGTGATGTATCAGTGATCGCAGAGGGTGAAAACTGGCAGCGATCACCGATCCCTTGGTTAGAGGCACACTGAACCTAAACGTAAAGTTGGAGAGGTCTCGTCTAACGAATTCAACGCTCCGTCCCCCTCGTGCTCTAATCCAGAATCCCGAAACCTTTCAGCTCGAGTTACATAACCGCTTTCAGTGCCTAGAAGATTGTAATGCAGTGGACGATATGAATGACAAGCTAGTGGAAACTGTCCATGCGGTCGGAGCTAAGTTCTGCAAGACCCGCCGCAGAAGAACACAAAAACTCTCCGATAACACTCTTAATCTCATGGCTGTTAGAGGGGAGATGAGGCTGCAATCGTCAACAGATTTGACAGCATACAGGCAACTGAACAGACAGAACTCCAAATGCATGCGGCGAGACTTACGCAACTTTAATACTGCTCGTATTTAAATAAGCGATTCCGCTCAATTGCTTCTAGAAGAAAAACCAGGGCTCCAAAGTCTTTGCCAGAGATCTGTCTGCCAGTAAGAGCCAACTGTCAAAGCTGAAGACGGAGTGTGGCAGCATAGTTTCCGGGACACCTGAGATTTTGAGTGAGATTGAGAGGTTCTAAGGGCAGCTGTACACATCATCGTTGGAGCTACACGCAAGTGTGAGTAACGATCCAAGAGCAAGTCTTATCCGACACTATTCCGATGATATCCCGGACGACAGTCTAAGCGAGACTAGAATGCCTCTCCAGCAACTTACGCAGGGCACAGGCAATAGAATTACAGCGGAGCTTCTGCAAGCGGGTGGAACACCGGTATTCGAAGTCCCTCAGAATCTCTACAATTCCGTCCTCAATGGTGGCACTACTCCAGAGGCATGGAGCAGAAGTGCGGTGGTCTTTGTTCTTTAAGAAAGGCGACAACGCTCTCTTGAAGAACTACGGACCGATTTTCCCTCTGAGCCGCGTCTACGATCTGTTTTCGAGAGTCATTACGAATCGTCTCGCACGCAGACTCGACGATTTCCAGCCTCCGGAACAAGCAGGTTTCCGAAAAGGCTTCAGTACCAGACCATATACATACCCTGCGACAGATTGTACAAACGACCGAAGAGTACAATCTGCCACTTTGCCTGGCGTATGTGGACTATGAGAAAGCCTTTGATTCCGTCGAAATTTGGGCGGTGCTACAGTCCCTTCAGCGGTACCAATTTGACTGTCGGTATATCGAAGTATTGGAGTGTTTGTACAGTAGGGCTACGATGGTTATGCGAGTACAGAACCAGAGCTCGAAACCTATCCAACTGCAGAGAGATGTAAGACGGGGTGACGTTATATCCCCGAAACTCTTCACCACTGCATTGGAAGACGTTTTCAAGCTAGTGGACTGGAAAAGATACGGTACTAACATCAATGGCGATTATATCACTCACCATCGATTTGTACTATGGAAATCGCTGGAGAACTTAGACTTAAGCACTATGCTCAATGACCTCAATAGTGCTTCCCAACGGATAGGTCTTAAGATTAACATGGACAAAACAAAGATCATATTTAATGTCCATGTCACACCTATGCCGGTAGTTGTTGGGAGCACTATGCTCGAAGTTGTTGACGAGTACGTTTACCTGGGACAAATAGTCCGACTAGGTAAGTCCAACTACGATCGAGAGGTCAATCGACGGATTCAACTCAGCTGGGCAGCGTTCGGGAAATTACGACATATCTTCTCGTCAGGTATACCTCAATCTCAAGAAACTAGATTGTACAACCAGTGCATGTTGCCAATGATGACTTACGGATCTGAGACGTGGTCCTTCACTGCTGGCCGTATGAGGACGCTCAAGGTCGCTCAGCGAGCTATGGAGAGGGCTATGCTCGGAGTTTCTCCGCGTGATAGACTCAGAAATGAGGATATACGCAGTAAAACCAGAGTTACCAACATAGCCCAACGGAGTAGTAAGCAGAAGTGGCAATGGGCCGGCCATATAGCTCCGAAGAACCGATAACCGATGGGGAAGAAAGGTTCTCGAGTGTCAGCATCGTACCGGTAGGCGTAGTGTAGGGCGACCCGCCACAAGATGGAGTGACGACCTGGTAAGATATGCAGGAAGTCGATGGATGCAGGTGGCTTAGATCCGTGCTTTGTGGCATTACTTGGGGGAGGCCTATGTTCAGCAGTGGACTTGTGAAGGGCTGTGATGATGATGTCGTTTTTGGTACAACTTTATTACATTTTTGTACTGTGTCCAAAATGTAATGTTTCAAAAAGTATAGATTTTGCTAACATTTTGGTATTTCAGATATCTTTACTAACGCTTTCCACCATAAACATACACTTCTTAATATGAACGCAGTACTTTGGTTTGCCATTTCTACAGCTAAACCATCTTATTTTTAGAAAAATTAGCATCTCTATAATTGTTTTATTTCATTATACAAACATTCAAGTTTTCCCTTGCTGTAACAGAAACAAAGACCTTTTTAGACACAATTGACAGCCGCCTCACATCTAACCCCCGGAAATGAGGATCGAGCGTGGGGCATAATTGCGGGTGCTGCTTCCCGTTTTACTGATAAACACAATTATTAACTTCAATGTGTTAAACTTTACAAACCCTGCATTAAAATATCATACATGTTTTAGAATTTTAATTCTTATTAAACCACAGATAAATAATATTTTGTTTAAATCCTTTATTGATAAAGGCAGGAAATAGAGTAAATGGGGCCTTACACTCTATTGCAGAAAGTCAGAATGTGTCAAAATAGGCATATATGGCATTTCACAGTGCTGTGTTGGTCCCTACTTTAACGTATGGTAGTGAAAGTTGGGTGTGGCACAAGAAGCACGAGAGTAGAATAAACGCTGTAGAACTGCGGTCGTTATGGAGTTTATTAGGGCTGAATCTGAGCAACAGTTTGAGAAACTGTGTGAGAAGAGTGTGGTTTGCAAGATGATGATGTAATCAAGATTAAAAAAGGAATGCTTCGGTGGTTTGGTCATGTGAAAATAATGAATGAGGAAAGAGTGACAAACACAAGTGAACGGTAGAGTCGGAAAGGAACGTCCTAGGTGAAAGTTTATCGACCATTTTGGCGATATATTAAAAATTGGGCAAATAAGGAGTGCCCCTAACCGAAGAGCATGTATGTTTAGGTATATGAATGCTGAGGAGGCGGGAGAGGAGTGTCAGGATCGTGCCAAATGGAAGTCTGTACTCTCTGCCTACCTTTTTGGATGACAGGCGTGTGTGTTTTTGTTATGTTATGCTATGTTACGTAAACATATTTTAGACCTATTAGAATGAATAGAAACAGTTAGAATGAATATAAACCTTAGAAATTGTTAACGAGTATGTTTACCTAGGACTAATTATCCAATAAGTTAAGGTTAGTTGAGCTTCGACCGAGAGGTCGAACGACGCATATATCTTAACAGCGTTCGGGAGATTACAATAAATCTTCCCGTCAAAAATAGATCAAAACTTGAAAAGTGACAAGATATACGCCGTATAGCTCTTAAATTGTATAATATATGATACATACATACATATATATATATATATGATATATATACAGGGTATATTTAATATACTAAAGACCTTTTGGGATATATAGTATGTTGGCATAATTACAACGATTTTAAGAGAGATCACTCTTTACAGAATGTAATACATTTACATAAAAGCTACTTTTAAGCTTTTTGTTGTCATGTCTGACTCCTTTTAAGTCTGTATTTTGTAGATACCTCATCAATTTTAAAAGAATACATAGTCACATAAAATGCCTTTTTTATTTTACACTTGATATAAGTATCAGACATCATGTTGAAAAATCAATATACATAATTAGATAGGCAAATAACATTAAAAAATCACAAATATTAAAATGAGCAATAGGTAATTATAAAGTAACCTCTTCGACGCGCCGCCGCGCCCAGCTGATTGTGTCGCGAGTGCCTACTGCCCACAGAGTACTTTTTTATACTGCCTACTAAACTATATTCACCACTGTGCCTATGGTACCAGGGCGCCACTCCAAATGACAAATTTACATTGACTTTTCATATACTCCTTTTTTGCATAAATTGCAATTTGATTGACTATTTGATTATTTTATTAATTTGTTTACGAATTTATAGACATTTTTAATAAACAATTAGGTAGTTTGTTACGATCACTGCCCAAGGCCAAGCCAAAGGTATACATTGACGTCGATACAGGCGTCATCAAAGGCGTCATCATCGGTTCGCAGCACGTGCAAATTAAATGTCGAGCATTATTAGCCATTTTTCATTTATTAAATGCAAGTTGTATTTAAAAAATGGATGCGTGTTACAAATATTGCAATAAAATAGTTATAATGATTAAATACAGATACCTATTAACACACATTTTACAACAGTAATTGAATAAAAATATTTAGGTAAAAAAGGGTTCAAAAAAAATATTAAAATACAAATTTATACATTAGAATTAGAGGTACTCGTTCGCGGATGGCGGTGCGTATCGCGCACATAGCGTTCAAAATAATCACCTCCACATTCTATGAATAGATGACACCTAAAAGTTAACTGTTCACCGACACGAGATAAAAGTTGAGTATTCATTTTGATTTGATCGAATGCCCAAATTATTTTTTCTTTCAACATGTCGCGGGTTTCGAATGTGCGACCAGTATACACTAATGTCTTTACATGCCCCCACAAATGAAAATCCTTTATTAAATGCAAGTTGTATTTAAAAAATGGATGCGTGTTACAAATATTGCAATAAAATAGTTATAATGATTAAATACAGATACCTATTAACACACATTTTACAACAGTAATTGAATAAAAATATTTAGGTAAAAAGGGTTCAAAAAAAATATTAAAATACAAATTTATACATTAGAATTAGAGGTACTCGTTCGCGGATGGCGGTGCGTATCGCGCACATAGCGTTCAAAATAATCACCTCCACATTCTATGAATAGATGACACCTAAAAGTTAACTGTTCACCGACACGAGATAAAAGTTGAGTATTCATTTTGATTTGATCGAATGCCCAAATTATTTTTTCTTTCAACATGTCGCGGGTTTCGA